CTAGTAAGGCACTTGTTACTAGAAGCGATGCACTTGTTCCTAGTAGCCACAGTTCCCATGCAGGAAGGGTTGCTACATTTTCGGCCCCGACGTGACCAGCGCCTTTCTGCGGAAGAACAACTTGAGACTCATGATACGCTCCCACGAGGTCAGGGTCGGCGGTGGATGGCCGCTCCAAGGGTGTGTTGGGGTTGGGTGTGGTGCGCTTTTTGGGGGAGGGCATTGGCATAGGTTCCAAAGCAATTGAGCCGCGGACACAATTCAATTGTCCTTTTGTGATATTTATTTGTTCTCATCATTCTCCAGGAGATGTTAGACGCCTCTACCACAGAATCGAACAGATTAGGTTTCACAGATTAATGAAGCTTACTTGGTGTTTCGTCAGGTCTGGCCTAGCCTAGCCTATTGCCTGATGTGAAGCGACCCACTCAGACTGCAGGTGAAAGTGCAGGGCTACGAGTGGACCCACTCAGACTGCATCACCGTCTTCTCTGCACCCAACTACCTGGGGCATGCGAAGAACAAGGGTGCAGCAGCGCGGATGTGCATTCCATCAGACCTCTTTGAGGGTGCTGCCACACCTGTCTTGTTGCAAGTAGTACATTGGGGCATGATTCTTGATGTGTCCTCGTTGGTTTTGGTTCTTGTTTTTAAACAGCAGGCCACTGGAGCGAAAAAAGCAAAAACATTGATCACAGAAGAACAACCATTTGATCAGAATATATCATAATATATAGTAATTATAGTGTAGAGTTGAGACTCGAATTTTTGGTGTTTCTTGACAAGTGCTGAATGATGTTCCCATCCGCATTCAACGACTCAGGTAGTGAAGCTCCTCCCAGATGACGCTGGCCACCTGACACCTTCTTTCATCACCTATGAAGCTGAAGAGACGATGGCGGGCCGTGTGCCCTGCTGAGTTTAACAGTGGTTTGCTGAAAGCTCCGATTTTTCAATCGAGCGCAGGCAACTCCAAGACTAAGACACTGTTGGCAGATTCGGGCCCAACAAATTGAAAGGAGGCAGACAGAGTTCGGCATGTTTAAGAACTTTTGAGGAGGAAGTCCTGCATTCTTGAGGAAACCCCACGTTCGATCTTGAAGAAGGAAGACTCTTCAAGCGATTGACTCCATGAATTGAGGCAGAGTCTCAATCCGGGGTTTGGCATTCTGCACCTGGTGGCAACTATACTTTGTGACAAACCATCGTTGTTATAAACGGATGCCGATACCAAAAGGATTCCGAAAGCTTGCTAGGATAAATATCGGACTCCTTGATCAGCTGAGTTTGTGCAAAACCCCAGCGTAGACTTTGCAGCCATGTGCGGAGCACTGGCCAATTCGGAGACTCCTACGCTCATGAAAAATCCTTCGCAGTCAGGTGTGTGACAGGACTGCGACTTGGGGACATGGTGAGCCCAAAAATAAAACAAGGAGGAGTGAGGCTCCTCGCTTGCTGCAGGCCTAAAACGAGACTGTAATGGACTTACGGTCTTGAACAACGCTGTGATGATGTTGTGTGTCAAGCTTCGGACCTTTTTGAATCAGAGTGTTTCGATCCTGGAGCATTCTCCTATCCTTCCTGTCTTCCAGGAGAGGCTTCTCATTTACTTAGACCCATCATAGATTACGACCTTTCTTGGTAATCTAGGGGATACCTTGGGTCGTGTATAAACAAGTCCAGTAATTATTTGGTGGTATATTCGAGAATTGGGGGTTGACAATGGTAAAAATATAATCAAGAGTCGACATCACCCGGCCCTGACCCATGACCACCGTCACACCAATACCGTATACCCCTCCACCCGAAGGCTTCCAGATCCGACGTCAAGGATCCGGAAGCTCGGAGGTGGGGGACACTGGGTTGGAAGTGGCGGTCCCATGCAGTGCAAAGCACCGATGTGTTTTGAAATTTTCGAGTAATTTCTGTCCGGGCCTCTTTGTGGCATCCGTTCCAGTATTGAAAGTATTCAACAGGAGTTTGTAGGATGTTTTTTTTTTCATGTGTTTGTTATCGATTGCAGAATGCGTGTTGGTGTTTTGTCAGGGGAGGTCGAAGACTGGATCTGGTTCGCACCAGTGCCTGGGTACACGACTCCAGCAGGTCGTCCAAAGATCCGGCGCCCTCGTCTGGCGGGAGGGCCTGGCCAAGTGGAACCCGAGGCGTTGAAAGGATCTAAAAAGAATATACTTTCCTTTCTTTGACCGGAATTAGGGGCTTTGGCCCCCCGAGGAGAAAGAAATATAAAAGAAACATAAAGTAGTAGCGTTCCTGTTCCTAGTAGTAAGGCCAGGAGCCCCAGTAGTAAGGCCAGGAGCCCCTAGTAGCGTTCTTGCTCCTAGTAGTACGGCCTAGTAGCTTCTTGTTTCTACTTTTTTCTGACCGGAGCTTATGGGCTTTGGATGGCTTTAGGTTGTTTCTTGTTTCACGGACGGTTGGTTGATTTGCCTGTTTCACGAGCTTGTGCCCTCCAAGACACTGCTGGGACATCGACACACCAGGCTTTAAGGACGATGTCTAAGTTGCATAGTATTGCACTGCTCTTTAGGGATAAGCAAACCGATCAAATGAGCAATTGTACTGTATACAAGTAATATAGTGCTTACAATAGTTTCAGGGTGAGAAATGCACTAAGAGATGGGTTGTACTGGATCCCCCATCTAAACAGCATTCTGAGGGTTGAATTCATTGTAGGTGCCAACCAGTCATGATGGGCTTCCGGGCCTGCTACCTTAGGCTATCCTGAGAGCCGAAACTGGTCTGGGACCCAGTGGAGCATATAGAACGCCGTTGTGTTTGAAACTCGAGGCTGGCGCGTCTAACCACAAAGACAAAGCAACCGATCCAATCACTCCCAGAATCTGCAGATCTCTCAGCCACCGTACGGTACGTACTGCCTTTGCTGTTGGGTAGGCCGCAAGTGGAGGAAGGTAGGTTAGCTAGGTAGGTAGCTAGTAGGAGCTAGGTAGCTACTAACTACTGGACTCAGGATAGCTCACGCTTCTTCAAGGAAGCTCCCAGCTTCCTTCAAGAAGCGCTCGCACTAATGATTTGGTTCCTAGATATTTTAGGGAAACTTATATAACATTAACAACATTGTGGCCAGCTCTGACAGCAGTCGGGCCTTAGCCAGATTAAATCCTTGAGGGCACTTTATTGAGGCTTTGTTAGACCAGGCAGGTGACTCTGCGCTGGTTTCAGCTCATTTGCTGGGCCGCTTGCTTTGACATTCTCAAAAGCTTGGCAAAGAAAGCACTGAAAAGCTGCAGCCAGCCACTGCACAAATCTCCTTCTCCTTCTCCTTCTCCTCCTCGTGGTGCTTGCATGTAATCCCCAGGGCTATGTAGATTGGATTTACTGTTGAACATTCCATTGAAGACGCTTCTGTTTGTTATCCAGCTGCTTGGCTTCTGTCCATAGGCAAGTCACTCTGGATTCGTGTGACCGTATGCCAAAGAATGTTTGACTCTTGATGAATCTTGGTACCACACCACACACCACATCGGTTTCATTTGTTTTACTGTCAAGTCCCAGTCTTGTTTTGATGAGATCCCAGCTGTCGACATTCAGCGCAAGTTGCTTTGGGCGCAAGTGGCTTTCCCAGTTCTGGGCGCAAGGCTTCGTTTTGGTGAGACGGACTTGGACGCAACGTCCGCAACGTTCCCTCAGCCCTTTTTGATCCTTTTTGCACGTGAGACGTCTCAAGAAACCACATGTTGGAGCATCCTCAAAACACACGGGACCATTAATGAATTCCATTTTTGACACAGCTCTCACTCTAGGCTCATTGGCTGCACAGTCCATTCGGTGTGCTTGAGAGGTAGTATCTCGACCCTCTGAGGACATCGACAGAGGCATCAGCATTGGGCCAGAAGGACTGTGGGATGCCAGCTGCAGGGCAGACGAAAAGGTCAACCTCCTGTCCGGTGGAGATGAGAACCACTTTGCAAAATGGTTTGCACACTTTCTTTGGCAGCAATGCATGTGATGCTGCCGCATCATTCATGTGTCCAATTCCGCAATTCCGACATTGCCAGAGGACTTGGCTTCTGTTGGCGGATCTCATGCTGCTTCAGGCAAGGGTTTCTAAGATGACAAAGGTTAAAGCATCTTCCAACTCGCTTGGACTTTTCAACTGAGAGTGCACCTTTCAACCCTCCCGTTCACCACCTGCTGGAGGGTTGTTTCTTTTTTTGTTCGCAGACCGATCCTGAGCTTTCGTCCAGGTCACGAAGAGCCGGAAGCAGCTGAGCCGATCTTAAGTGGAAAAGAGTTGAGAATGGAAGGAGTAACAAGGTTCGCTACTAGGAGCAAAGGGCATCGCTACTAGGAACAAGTGCATCGCTACTAGGGGCTCCTGGCCGTACTACTAGGAGCAAGGACGCTACTAGGAAGGAGTGATTTGGTGAGCTGTGGAGTGATCCCAGTGATCCATGTGCGTTGTAGCGGTGATCATGTGTGTGTTTCATGCACGAAGACCGAAGGAGAGTCGAAACGCTAATATCCAAAGCAACACCTGCAGAAAGATGCAGGCACAGGGTTGGTTTTGAGGCCTTTGATCTATCTTAATTCTTCTTTATTGAGGATGTTGAGTCCACACGCATACTGTCGAGATCTGTCGACAAACATTTGGTGATCCTTTTTCACGGCGCAGGCTATATTTGGCCCATTTAAACTCCCTGCCTACTCACATGAACTGACTTTCACTACAACAATTCGCAAACATGAAAACATGGAACGTACAGGAAGAGCAACAACATGGAGGAGACGCGCAAAAAGACCTGCAATTCCATTCATACCTATGTAACATATGTACGATTCCATGGCTTCGTGGGCATTGCGTTCCCCTCTCTTCCCGTCCACTCTCCGATCCTTGACACCATGGCGACGGCGGATGACAAGCGACGAAGCATCCGGGAAATCCATGACCGCCGGGGAGTCCTGGGAAGTTCTTGATGACTTGGTGAAGAAGATTTTAATTTAGGATGATTATATAACCGTATTAAATAAATCAGGGTAGGAGTAACTCTATATATGTATATATCAGAGGTCAGTGGTCCCTCTCAGATACATATATCACTCACAAGGCAGCCTGACATTGCACGCTGCCACCGACCAATGCGAATGAAGGGCCTTGGAATTGCATGACTCGAGGGCAAGTGGAGGCCACGTAGAAATTGAAGGAGGTGATGTTTTTCTTTCAGGTGGCATGTGGCATCATTTGGCCTTTGGTTGCACGGGTTTGATTTCTGCATGTTTGCCCAGCGCTGCTTTTCTTGAGGCTTTAACCTTTTCATGATTCCGCCACTGGTGCTATTGACAGGTGCCTTCCTAAGTCTCAAACATCATTGTTTACTTCCAGAGTTTTGCAAGAATACTGAAAGGCCGGGCAATGGAAAAGTATGAGTATCTATAGGTAATGAATAGCTTGAAGATTCACCATCTTCATATAGATGTTTGCGATCCCATTTGCTTTTTGAGCATCAGCAGGTTGTTCCTTGGCAAGCCCTTCGCGGATGACCCACAATGCCCTTGCTTGGAGCGCCGGGAGGGTCAGAAACGATGGAACGTGGAAGAAAGTGAAGACCATGAAGTTGAAACAAAGAAGGGAACAAGGAGAGTGTATATAGAATGTAGATGAATGTAGATGTTGACTTGAAATCACACAAATCAAAATCATACAAATTCAATAATATCTAAATGTGTACATAATTTGTTTGTGGTAAATTGAGGCGTTATCTAACTAGATCTATTTGCAAACAAGAAGCATGAACTCTGTGACCCATGAACAGTGTAGGAGTTGTGTTTTCACTTTGCACTTCCTGTACTGGACTGAAAGATGCGCAGACCAGTCCAACCCCTGATCGCTCTCAGCCTCATGCCCCAAAAATATTTGTCCCAAAGCTATTGTCCATCGGCCTTTCAGGTTTTGTCGTACATGTTGCTGGACATTGCCTACAACCTCCTGGTGTGAGACTCAGTAGATTGGGAGGTCTCCCTGGGACAGTTGGATCGTTTGTAATTAAACGCAACTGGGGCTGAAGGTCGTGTTGACTCTTGGTTCACGGAGACCCCAAGAGATGCAAAAACAGCATGGCCAAGACATAGAACATCTTGGTAGAGCCTGGTGAGTTTTTTTCATCACTAGGTCATTGTATAGGCATTCGCGGGATCCCAGGCTGGTAGAATGTGATTCGACAGATCTGCGCCGAGGCACCCGAGTGCCAGCCAACTTGGTGCAGGTGGGTGTGCTACTCAGCCGGAGGGCGATGGGGCATTGTGATAGTATTGATTTGTCTCAAAAAGAGGATGCACCTTGCCCCCCCAACCAACATTGCATTTCCAAGAGTCCTCAAACCAGTAGTTTTGTGGGGTCCCTCTAACATCGTTGTTGAGATGCACGTGTAAAGTTACGGTAGAGCTTCGCGATGCAGTACATTGAGTGCTGTTGAACTCCTGAAAGCCGTATACAAGTCTCAGGGCATTGTGACAATCCTGCTGAGATGAGGTCACTATTTTGATCCACCATGTGCCGGCTGTCATGTGTTTTGCTTCTGCTGCCGTTGAAGTGTGGTGCTGGTGACAGAAGGAATCTCGTGACGACTGAAGCGCAGATGAAATCAGACGTGGTAATTGTATGCAAGCCATGTGCAAAACAATTGGGCTGTGCTGGTTTTTGTGCGGTTTCTTGGGTTGGACCAAACCGAAGTGTCATCACGATCCTCAGCTGGTTGGGCCCCTTGAAGGGGAAGAACCGGCTGGCAGCGGGCTGGGACGGCCAGGTGACGGCCGCTTGGTTGGTTTGCTTCCCCATCAACCACCAAGACTTCGGAGATCTCACCGCTTATTGTGCCATGGGCAGATGGGTCGATGATGGGTAGATGGGCATGAGATGGACTCCTGGACAGAGGGAAACCAGATTCGACTGGATCGTTTTGGGATGTTGAAGTCGAACTGGATTCCAGAGAGTGCCCTGTGCTTGCTTCAACATGCTACGTTCTTAGCGTAGACGCTACTAGTAGATAGTAGTAATGCTCTTGTTACTAGTAGCGATGCCCTTGTTACGAACGTAGCTTCTAGCTACTAGTAATCTTTTAAACCAGCAAACTATGGCAAAGGCAGCGGTTGGAGAATGTCGATGCTAATCAAAGTTTCTGTTGTCTGACAAAGCCGGAGACGCGCTGTGTTGAAAGCTCGACATGGACATCGTGACATGCTTGACCCTGTCAGGTACGTTGGTAGAGGTGAACACCCTTTTCCTCACCCTGTTCAAGGCACCAGTCGGAATACACCTTGGTGCATTTGAGTCAATTTGTTCCTTGTCCTTTTGGTTTGGCCACTATAGATTCCTTTGAAGTCTGCGACATCTTCCACTTTGATTTACCGCGGATTTCTTTGTCAAAAACGTGTCACATCATGTCTTTCGGCGCCAACGTCCACAGTGACGTTCCGAGGTGTTCAGGTGGAGCTTCTGCCAGAAAGGCCATTTGCTTTCCTGGGAGCCTTAGCTCAAGAGTTGGGAGATGCACCAGGAGCTGCGGGATGCATGGCGTTCAAAGAGTGAATGTGCTAAAAAAAGGCTTGGTAGGATTGGTGATCGTTTTTGAAAACGCCAACCATGCCTCAAGATTCAAGATGATACTCAAATGTTGGACTTGTTAGATACCCCAGAAACATTGTGCAAGGTGAAAGCAAGGGTTTGTAGAGAAGTTTGGGTTCGGTGGACACATTCCTTGCCGTATATATTCGGTGTAAGACAAGCAATATTGGAGTTTTTTCTACAGACTCCACACATCATTTGCTGAGGCTCTTCTGAGATTGCTTTGGTATCCATACCTGGTGCTGGGATCCCAAGCTGTCCTTACATGGAGGTGGAGCAACGCCGATGGACCAGAGATCCTGGCCTTGCCTTGAAGAGGTTTTGACTCCACTTTTGTTTCTCCAAGCAAGGCTTCAGAACCTTGAATCACAGATTGACGAGCCAATACCAGTGATCAATCAAAGCTCAAACCTTTAGGCTTTCCGGTGGGGCGCTCAATCAAAAGACCAAGAAGATGGGGTAGGCTCTCCAGAAGTATAACATAGATAGAAGGCCAGCTGCCCTTTAAAGCGAATTGTAGCCTGATTGAAAGAGCGTCACCAAAAGCTTTCACCAGCATCACCACAGGCGTCACATGACTGCACGTCCTTGGCATGACCTTTTGTTTCCAACAAGTTGTTCCTCGGAATGTCGAACCCCTTGCAGGCTGGGTGTTCCGCAAGTTCTTGGGAGCGCTTGCTCGCATGAGGTATCACTTCCATGAGGTGGTCAGTGGAGGAGGCTTCAAGGTCCACCACCCGACGGGGCAATGGCCGCCGCTGCCTGTGGCAGCACTGGTGCAGTAGAAGCCCATGGATTGAGTAAAATTGAGGAAAGGATCATCACTCAAATGTTTGAAGTGTTTGTGTTGTGGGTAAGCCAGGCGTTGTATGGTGTTGTTAGCACCTGAAGGATCGAGAAGCTCAACTGAAGGATAAACATATGGTACAAACATATACAAACCCTAAATAGTATGGCCTGAGCCATAGACAATGCTATTGCACAGATTGTTCGAATAGAATTGTTTATTGCCCTCCCCACTGTACTGGCAGGGCGCAAATCGTTAAGCGCTTGCAGCAATTGGGTTTCTTGTCAGTTCGTCGAACATGGAAACCCGCCTGAGTCAGAGTCCGATACTGCTGAGAGATTGTTGCAAGGTCTCATCATTTTCTCCAGGCCCACAGCAACACCTTTCACCGAGGTTGTTTGATGGTTGTTGTTTGAGTGGTTTACAGCAGCTTTGCTCCCTGGCAAGCAACATCAGTGAGAATCGGTGCAGGCTGGGAGCTACGAGCACTTTCAGTCTGTCTGAAGCACAGCTTGGGACTGTGGCGGGAGCCTGGGAGGTAGCGACAGTGGCCCTCTCCCAAGTCAATCCAGACAAGGCAGTCATCCAATTTGTGGGGAATAATTGCACAACAAACCTTAAAGGGGTACAATGCTGCTTGGGATTAAGCTTGACGGCGAAACACCCTTTCAGGTTCTGGCACGTTCGGAGTTTGGAGAAGTTTTCTTGGTTGCAAGAGAACTGGCCCTTCCGGCAACTCCTTTTCGTTTCGTAGTGATGGAAGATCCACCAAGATCCCTGAACAGGGTGGACGACTGGCTTCGTGAAGGATGGGTTCGGATCTTCCTTTGTTCGCCGTACTGCAGCTGAGTGCAATGGCTTTATTGGGACCAGCAGTTGAAGTTTGTGAGGGCAACTCCAGGGAGCTGGAGGAGCGTTGCCAAAATGATGGCTCACTGATACCACAGCACATGTTGACCCTAACGAAATTAGTATTCCCAAGATCACAAGAAGTCTTCAGTCATAAGGGATGCTGTCACTGTACTCCAACATGCACAAATTGTTACCTCATGCTGGCTTTCCCTTCAAACAGAAGATAGGACCCTGGAGAAAAGAACCCCTTGGGAGCTTGAAGGTCCATAGAAACGTAAGCCGTGCAAGCTTGTGTCCTTAATTCGGTGCTTAATTCGTCTCATGGCGCGCCGCCGTTCCATCAGCTTTCTACCAGTGCTGGCGCTGGCACTGGCTTTGCTGCATACCGCCAATGTCCCGCCACCTGAGGTGCTTCTACATTCTACATTGGACAGAAGCATTGAAGGACTTAGTGTTTTTTGAGCAAGGTAAGTCCACAGTCCGTTGGCATTTACATCGTATTTACATGTACTGCATAGTGCACGAAGATTCCAACAGCCCTAGGGTAGTATACTGGTCCAGGGTCATGGGTTCCAAGATGCATCCCCCTGACATCATGGGGATAAGCACGCAGAAGGCAGTTTGTAAGCCTGATGTATCCGGTGAACTACTCATTTGATTCATAGGCCGATGATGGCCGTTGTAATTATTGTATATTACCTCACATACACAATATATATATATAGTTATTCTTGCTGCATGCTTTTTGATATCACTGATATCACAGTCAATGAAATCGATATGGTTCCGAAGAAGTGCAGTTTACTTATGTTGATTCATGTGTTCCATGCACAATGATACAGCTACTCCGTGAATTGTTTGCAAGGAATGACGAGTTCTCGATCACACTGGCAGAAACCTGTATTGGATACATCCAGTGTATTTTCATGTATTTTCCGTTGCCAGGTGCTTCTGGGACAACGTTGTGTCAACAACTTGGAAACCTGGAGACGTTGCGGTGATGTGGCCATGGTGCGCGGAGGACTCCGGACCCTCAGTCAAAGAGGCCTGGTGACCAGATTAAAGGCAAGCAGCGACCAATGAATCACCTCGACTGGATGTAGAGGACAGAATGTTGATCATGTCAATGCTCAGAGAAAAGCTGCTACTGTAACAGAAATAAAGCACCATTTAGATCCAGTTAGACTTGGTAGATTCTAGGATGCTAAGCTAGTTAGAGATGGCAACTCTGGAACATTTGCATTGTCTTCCGCGGTTTCGACTGTCGGCATCGAGAATCGGTGCTTGCAGGTTCAAAGTCAAAGCAACAAGATGTGAAAAATATGTCTATAGGTTAAATCACAACACTGTTGATCAGCTGCTGCAACTATGTAGTTTCAAACAACAATTCCACACTATGTTTTGCCTTTTTCACCTGCGCTGCGCAGGTCTCATCTACTTGCTTTGCTTGAGATATCCGACGGACGGTCAAGTGGGTCGCAGCCCCTACTACAAGATCGGCGGCACCCGCGACATGGGGCAACGCTTGCAAGCCTACGTGACCTCCCAGCCCTTTGCACCCGAGGTGTCCTTGGAAGTGGGGAAGAAAATGGAAGAATATGGACCGCATATAGTAGGCTTGTAGGTTGGAGGCCATCGCTCTTAGGTTGGAGGCCATCGCTACTAGGGTGTTGATCCCTGCTCCACGTTGATGACTCACTGAAAGGAGCAGACTGTGGCGGAACCGCTTGGATACGTTGGATGACACATTTAAGACCCCAGAACCTATGCGGTTTGTGAGCCCTTCTTGGTTTGCCATCCACTCTACTCTTTTTTGTGTATTTGCACTTGTACCAGTTTATATACTCACGTACATCCATGTTGTCATGGAGGGCTCACGAATCTGCACCGAGCCCTTCAGCCATGGTTCCAAAGCCCAGAAGTGTTCTTCCGGAGGTCATCAAGACCGTGGTGGTGCCGGACTGGCGGACAGCGGAAGCGCAGATCCTGAAGGCGGTGGGGGGGCTGGTCTTTGAAAGACTAGCAAAAGTGGCGTCCGGAGATCGTGATAGTTTGAAGCCACATGTTTAAGATCTTTCAGTTCATGTGAATACAATCAGAATAATTGAGTTTTTCTTTGAGTTGCATCTCGATTCGTGTCAGGGCATCTCGATTCGTGTCAGGTTAAGTTGAGAGCGGAGCTGTTTCGCACGAATTCTGTATGGAAAATTTGTGCTGCAGAATTGGCACATTTTAGGCCTTCCCCAAACCGGACGATCTGGATGGTGGAAAAGAGTGGCGCAGATTCTCTCCGCAGGAAGTGCAGAAGGTGCGATCCACGCCGTTATGGCTTGAGGGATTTGCACTGGACCAGCTAGGAGGGAAAGGCCTCCTCCAGGAACGCAAGTTTTTTGTTTTAAGCCTCCACCAGTGGAGGACTTTCAAGTTAAAGGGCTGCCCGTGGCCTCACTCGCGTTGTAATTGAAAGTCTCAAGACGCTAAATAGCTACCTACCTTAGAAAGATTCGGTTTGCTGGAGAGAAGCAAAACAGCCAAGACACTGCAGGATTGAAGAGCAGGTAGGCCATAACAAAAGAGTTTGGGTGTGACACGTTTTTCAGTCTTTGAGGTGGACCATTCAGAACATTTGCTTCCAAACCTTGTTTTTCTAACCTGCTGATGGTATTATAAAAATCGTTCATTGGAGAGAGCCTGTTTTCAAAATTTTAAAAAGTAAAAGAAAAAACAGTCAATCCCAAAAGTCAAAGTCAAAAAAGGCAAATCAGAAAGTTTCAGAAAGTCAAACAAAAAGTCAATTTGCCCAGATCCGACTTTTTTTTCCGATGTTTTCAACGTTTTTTTGTTTCAACTTTTCTTGACGTTGTTTCGACTGTTTTTCATGTTTTTGCTTTTGTTGTTTTTGACTTTTTCGAGTGGTTGACTTTTGTTTTTAACCTTTTTGACTTTTTCGAGTTGCTTTTTGATGTTGACTTTTTTGGACTTCTTTTCGACTTTTTTTGACGTGTTTTTCGACTTTTTTGACTTGTTGACTGTTTTTGACTTTTTTTATTGTTTGTTTTATCAAGGATTTTGGCCTTACCATATGAAAGAATTTGTATAATGATGGTAATTGCACTATCACCTTTGTGCCATCGACTGACCTGGAGGTAGTGGCTGAAATGGACGCCTTTTCCTCCCTTTGGGAACTTCTCCCTGAAGAAGCTGTTTCTTTGCATGCAGCCCAGAAGCTCCTGAATACGGAGATGTGCCTCGCACGAGATGTCAGGTGTTGATAGAGTTGTTTGGTTTGAATTTTGAATCCATAGAATGGGCTGTTCTTTTCCCGAATGCGTAGCGAAGAGTTCTCGTTTAACTCTGGGGGTCCGGGGGTAGAGCCTTCTTCGCGACGTTTGGAGAGGGTTTCGGATGAAAACGTGACGTGTCAGATGCGTGTGAAATAGCGTGGAAACGTGTGGAAATGTAAGATGTTGAAGTATGAAGGTTGAGTTCACTGCGCAGGCACAGCGTTTTGTGAGATCCGCAGTTTTCTGCGCTGTTCCATTGGGATTAGTGTTTGGAGAGTCGTGTTTTTTGGGGTGTTGGATGTGGCCGTGCCATTAGGATTTGCGTTTTAGGGTGTTGCATCGAAGCTCTGTTTTCGTGACAAGTCTCAGCTGAAATGGCGACTTTGGTGGATGGGAGTGTGCTCAGGACGGCGCGGCCTGGGTGGGAGTGCGTTTGCGGCGCCGTGCCACTGGGGAGCACGAAACATGCTGGTGTAACGCGGCGTGTCGCTGGTGAGCGGGATGATTGGTGGTATCATGTGATATGTTTGCTTTCTAGTGTATATGGGCAGACCATGTGGCGAAATTACGTTCGTTATGTCGCATTTGCGCGGCCTTGGTGGGAAGTGTGTTTGTGTGGCGCCGTGCCACTGGGGAGCGCAAAACATGCTGGTGTAAACGCAGCGTGTCGCTGGTGAGCGGGATGATTGGTGGTATCATGTGATATGTTTGCTTCTGTAGTGTATGGCGCACCGTTCATGACACCGCAATTGAGCCATTCTGTTGCTACTAGAGTGGCCCGTAAGAGTGAAGAGTGTCCCACAAGAGTGTCCCGCAAGAGTGTCCTACAAGAGTGTCTCACAAGAGAGTCACACAAGAGTGTCCTGCAAGAGTGTCCCACAACAGTGTCCCACAACAGTGCCCCAAGAGTGTCCTGTAAGAGTGTCCCACAAGAGTGTCCCACAAGAGTGTCCCGCAAGAGTGTCCTACAAGAGTGT